TATCAAATGACGTAATGACTGGAGATAGATAAAAGACAAAAATACAGTATTGTTGTGAGCTATGGTTTTGTGGTTAGTGAGTTCAAGGCAGTTAGGTTAATGCAGAAGAAGAACAGAAGCTAAGGCTCCACGAAAGGCTTATACAGAGAAGCTTTCAATATCTGCTGCAAAAGCTGATTTGATGTCACTTGTTGCCTCTGGAACAATTCCGAAGGAGTGCGAATCATACTATGAGTCATTGCCATGCAGCAAATCTATAAAAGACAAACTTTCAGTGCCTTCTGTTAGTGAGAGTGAAGAAAATGAGTGGAGGTCATAGAATAATTAATGACAAACATTCACATTTTGTGACATGAAACAGTAGTCTTTATTTACTTAACTATGATATGGGTCACTAATATCCTTAATTGCTGATGTATGGGGTCTGTTTGACTTCAGTTCGATTATATGCCAGAGAACATTCAAAATAATTGAAATTTGTAAACTTAGATTTTAGTGCGTATTTTCGTAAACTTTTTAGTTATTAATTTATTTTTGTAGAATCTAAATATTGAGCAGGTACATATTTCATATTTCTATGAATGAAAAGTGTTTTAATTTTGTGTACGAATATTAATTTGCATTGTGTTAATTACATTACGTAAGGTTCTTCAAAGTAACGACATAATTGATAAATTTGCAACAGTAACAATTACTGCAACATCTAAATTTTCAGAGGAACAAGGCTATAACTGCACTTATAACCTTTTACCACAGTTTTATCTCTAACTTTTATTGCTAAACCTTCAGAAGTAAAAGGTCGTAAGTGCAGTTATTACCTTTTTACCGCTCAAACTTGTAGTCTTGACAGGATCTAAGTACATTTATTACCTTTTACTTCTGTAAAATGATATTATTTTGATCTTAGAACTTTAAAACAAACTATAATTACAGTGTTTTATCAGCACCAAGCAATGTAAACTAAACAAAATATGATCTAATGTAGTCAACAAATATGGGAGAATCAAAATTGTTATAACAATATTACGGAAAAAAAAGTTGTATTAAAGAAATATGTTTTTTGCGTTTTTCTCGAAATCGTGAAAATGGCAGTTATTACCTTTTACCTTTGAACCCTCGATATGTTCCTCTGTTCAATGTGTAGGTACATAGCAGGGGTTTGAAGATAGATGTTTCAAGGATTAAGTCTTAAAAATTTATCTATACACAGTTTATTTATTCATTATTCTGTATGAATGATCTTTTCAAAGACATTTATAGTAAAATAGTAAAATGCAAAACTATTTAAATTATAATTTGATTAATTATTTATAACACTGAAGCAGACAGATATCCATATTCCATAAAATGTCACTTTTATTATGTGGATGGTCAACTTTTGTGTCAAGGTATACCCCATCATGTATACTTCAATCTCCATGACAGGAAATTCCAGAATTCATGTAATATAAGGACCAAAAGAACCTAAAATACTACTGCTTAATGAAAATGAGAAAAAACAATTGTTCATTCCTAATTTCCATGTGCATGCCTTCATCCATATATACAGCTAGGGGTTTTAAATATGCAGATAATATTTTGGGTTTGTAAAAAAACTTGTAATAACAAGAGCAGTCAGAAGGACAGTGCCTGATTGTTTTTAGCAGTGAAAACTAAGCCTGGTCTTTTCTGTTTATTTTTGTAAAGTTGTTCAATTGCTCAAAACAGTATCACAAACAGTACCATGTGTTTTTTTTTTTTTGTGAAAACCAGGTCAACGATAATTATTTATGTGTAGCAATTGGAAAGCCATTAAAACTAGAATGGTCAATTCATGATAGTAAAGCAATAACCTGGATAAAGTAGGAATTAACATGGAGGAAGAGTTTTGGATACTGATCAAGTAATATTTTATGTTCACAAAGTCATATGTAATGTGAATCAAAATGATGAATAGTGCAAATTTAAAAAAACAACTTTCAAGTGAATACCATCATTATATTATCAGTACATGTTGTTATAAAGATGACTGTTGCACAGAAAGTAAAACTTAAACCAAGAATTTTGAAAATTCACAAAGGGCCACGAGTCCACAATGCAGTCAAAATCAATGTCAGAATTACAGAACTTGGAGAGTGACCTCTTATTATGGTCATGAAAGATGTATTAAATTCAAGTCAATACCTTCAATAGTTTTGAAGATTGGTGTTGCATGCCAGGAATTTTCTAAGTTCATTAAGGTTCACTATTCTTGGACCTTGGGCAGCAACCTTCAATAATGGTCTCAGCCAAATGTGTAATTACAAGCATGTATCTTCAGTGATTCAGGAGATGTGATGTATAAGAAGTTGCACTTAAAATTTTAACCCGTGTTACTCTTAATGCTGAAGCCTGTGCAAGTTGGATAACCAGATTATTCTTCAAGTAGCCAATTTAAAAAATGTCATTTGTTTCGGGATTTTCACATAATCTAAAATAAAGTTGTGGACCCCCTGCTGAAATGTTCATAGTCATGCTTAATACAGCTCAGCTAACATTCTCCAATACAGCTTTGAATTCTGAAACACAAACCATTTCAGCATTCATTGCATGTTAAAAGCTAAAGTAGGGTAATCACTTTACCAGTTTGATTAAAACCGTGCCATTATTTCTCTTTGTTGTCAACTTCCCATTACTGTTATGCACTTAAATAATTTCTATCTCATTTTGTGTATTGTTAACACTAAGTCTTAATGGTGTTACCCAACTAAGAAATAGCTTATGATCAACAACTTTCTGCTCCATAGACTTCAAATTTACCAGATTAGCTCATCAACTTCACTATTTTAGTCAACTCCTACTCCTCCCCTCTCCCAAGTTGTCTTGCCCATTATTAAAACAAGAGCAATCAGTGATCACATGTGTCGCCTCATGATGGCCAATTTCATGTTGGGACAATTTTTGTGACAGACGGACGGACAGTGCACAGTTAAACTTGGTACTGATCATTCCTGTAAAGTTTCGATAAAATTGCACCAGTAGTTTATGAGGAGTAGTCCGGACAAGCTTTTGTGTATCTGGCAACACACAGAAAAAAACACCTTTTTATCAAAGGGCCATAACTTGGCCAAAAATCATTCAACCGGAAAACCCGTGCAATATGCGCAAGGACTTGAGCTACAGATCAATCCTGTAAAGTTTCATTGAAATTGCATTAGTGGTATAAGAGAAGAAGTCCGGACAAACTTTAAAAATAAAAATTATTAAAGGGCCATAACTCTGACAAAATCATTGAACCGGAAAATGCTGACAATATGCACAACTAGACTTGGTACTGATCATTCCTGTAAAGTTTGGATGAAATTGCACCAGTAGTTTATGAGGAGTAGTCCGGACAAGTTTTGTGACGGACGGACAGACAGACGACGGAGAAGTGATCCCTATATGTCGCCACTACTCCGTAGAGGCGACGCAAAAATGGCACCAAAGTAGAACTGCCATCCCTCAAGAACTTTTATTAAATGGTTTCTACACATGAATAATGGAAAGAACTATAATAGTTAACAGACAGGGTTTATTCTCTTCCCTCATCAAAAATAAACAAATAGCTTTTGCATTCTCCCATTTATTGCAATAAAAACATATACATTGTAAATGAATTTGAAACAAAATTAATTTTGTTGTTTTCAATCAATTATAATATTCAATTGTGTTGAAAGATATTTATCTAACTAATAAAGATTAAACCACAGTTAAAGTCAGTCATTTATTTGCAGGAAAAAAAACACATCAAAAATGCTATTTCTTTATTTAAATTAAGGTTTTCAAGTTTGAAAAGGGGCAAAACTGGCATAAAAACTTAACAAGAAGAAACAAGAAACATGGCAATGCCATGAAACCAGGTTTTCAATTATCACCATTGTAGATAAATATGTTGTATTTGAAATACAAATACAAGCAACAAACAATGTAACTATGTGCAATGTAAAACATGAATAATGTAGGAGGAATTGCCACTGAAGAAGTGTTCACTATAATATTATGTATAAGGAAAAAAACAAAGGGCCATAATTAGGTCAAAAACTATCCAATCACAAAACCCCGACAATATGTGCCAGGGTGCTTGATGACAAAGCTTCTGTGAAAGTTTGAACAAAATCCGTTGAGAAATGTAGGACGAGTTCAGCACAGAAGAATTTGTTCACTATAATTATATTGATAATTCTGTATAATGAAAAACAAGTTACAAAGTAGACATGAAATAATATATCATATCTTTTTTTAAATTACCTCCAAAGATGATATGACCTTTGACTGCCAAATCAAGTTAAAATCATGTAAACAGGATTTTCAATGTTAATGTCACTGTGACCTTGACCTTGGAGCCAGCCATGCGGAACATGCGTTCTGCACGTCATCTTGATGTGGTAAACATTTGTCTGAAGTTTCATCAAAATTCTTCAAAGGGTTGAAGAGTTACAGAGCGGACAGGATTTTCAATGTTAATGTCACTGTGACCTTGACCTTGGAGCCAGCCATGCGGAACATGTGTTCTGCACGTCATCTTGATGTGGTAAACATTTGTCTGAAGTTTCATCAAAATTCTTCAAAGGGTTGAAGAGTTACAGAGCGGACAGGATTTTTCAATGTTAATGTCACTGTGACCTTGACCTTGGAGCCAGCCATGCGGAACATGTGTTCTGCACGTCATCTTGATGTGGTAAACATTTGTCTGAAGTTTCATCAAAATTCTTCAAAGGGTTGAAGAGTTACAGAGCGGACAGGATTTTCAATGTTAATGTCACTGTGACCTTGAACTTGGAGCCAGCCATGCGGAACATGCGTTCTGCACGTCATCTTGATGTGGTAAACATTTGTCTGAAGTTTTATCAAAATTCTTCACAGGGTTGAAGAGTTACAGAGCGGACACAATTTCGTTTGACGCCCATCCGCCCAGCCGCCCATCCGCCCGCCATACCCCAATCTAATAACCAGGATTTTCAAAATTGAAAACCTGGTTAATAAACATTAAACATTCTAACTATTTAGAAAGCTTTTGTTTGTCATGTGTTTAGAATCATTTGTTGACACCATTTTCTATCATGTTGTTTTAGTAAACAAAAACAGTTAGGGCTTATAATGTATTAACCTGATTTTGTTTGTTATTTTTCTTATCTTTTTTAACTGAAGTCAGACTCCCAACTTATTTATGCCTTCTCAATCAGATCTGTTCACCAGTATCTAACACAAGACCTAATGAGCTAACAAGACATGCCTCATTATTCATCACTCAAGCTTTATATTTGAATATAAAATACAGATATTAATTACAAATTAATTAGTATACATATAATATTGGAAATAACATTATCATTTACTATATAAATTAACTATCATCTTTCTTAAAGGCAAAATTTGCAAGTTTAGAGTTAGTTGTTTGAGACAATGGCGTCTTTTTAACATCAGTTTCTATACTGTCTCTGTGTTTTTTGACACCCTCCTCCGAATCTGTATCATCACGTTTCCTCTTCTTGTTTTCCGAGTTATCTTTTGGTTCTGTATCAATACTATTTTCTTTACTTTTCTCACTGGAAGCCTTCGCTTTCTTCACCCAAACCTGAATCATGATATAAACCAAGTGATTTATGATCAGAGTTATATTGTTTTTTTTTTGTTTTTTGTTGTTTTTTTTTTTTTTGGGGGGGGGGGGGGTTAAAAGTTCATTGTACAATGCTATGTATTAATAAGTTTAGCTCCAGGTCTTCAGAAAAAAAACATTTTTGAACCTTTTTGCCTACAGGTAATAAGCCTGACACCCAAACAAGAGAACAGGCATGTTTTATACAACCTATTATTCGCTGCACAACTCTACAATGCCTACAACTAAGCTCAAGGTCTTTTAGTTCCAAACAAGATTTGAAAAAGGTTTTTCTTAAAAGAAAAACACAATGAAGCAAATGTGACCCAAAGAGCAGGGTCAATACTGAATGTAGCCCTTGGACTTATTGTAAAAAGAATATGTGGGTTTAAATGGGTCACAAACAACAGACATTGTGTCATGTGATCACAAAAACTCAAACTATGTTGATATCCTATACCTGTCTCTCTTCTTTGGCTAAAGCCCTAAATTGTTCAGCAGCATATTTACTGAACTCTTCCTCGTCAGTCTCCTGATGGCTTTCCTTCAATCTTTCACTATTCTCCTCCAACCATAGGTCAAAGGCTGATGCAGGTCTAAAAACACAAGTTAATCATATTGTATATTAGCAGTTTTGACAGTTTAAGTAAATAAACCTTAACGGGCTGCTGTAGTTGATACTAGTAACACTAGCTAATTGATTATATTTCTCTAAACCACTGACTAACATTCTTATCTACTAGTATTTTACAATTTCATTACTTAATACAGAAAAGACAGTGGATTTTAATAAGTTTTGTTTCCCCATTTTGTTAACTAGTAAGGTGTAAAAAAATATTATTAATTAGAAATTTGTTGACTTACTTTTGAGAAGCTGCCTCTTCAATTTTGTTTGTTTTAACCGGCTCCGATTTCTTTTTCATGAATAGCTTAGGCTGTGATCCCTACAAGACACACAAATATATAGTCATCATGTTCAGATTGGTTTTTTTGCCCAGATATTTGTATAATTTATAAGTCAAAAGTATAATGTTAAGATCATATGGGTCCTTCACTTATGGCATGTGACCATTTTAGTTCACATAAAATGCCTTATTTTGCATAACTTCCAGTTCCAGTACAAGAATGCACAGAAATACAATGATTGACCATACGTAAACTAATTATATAGCTTCTGAAGTTCTGTTAATATAGAATTCAATAAAGTTGATGAGAATAAAGCCTGTAGCGATGAGTGGTAACGGCAACTGTTAAACACTCATCCATTTAGATCACCATCAATTGCATTATTTGTGTTAATCAAGAATCAGTCACACTATTTCATAAGAGAATATCCACAACAATATCACAAGCCCAAATGTTTTCCTTTTTTAAAGTTTCAACATTCATCCATTAAATATCTTACAATTTGTTCAAAAACTTTTTATTAATTATTTCAATTACATTCACGCTTATATCCAAAAATATTCTATTAAAGACTCAAATTAGTTTGTGACCTGTTGCAGATTGACCTACACTACATGTATTTAAACGCTGATACCAATTGGTGAAGAAGTAAACATGCTAACCTTTTTCTGTGATTTTGTTGATTTTGTATCCAGTGGAAACAAAGGTGAGGGTTTTTCTTTCTTCTTTGACATACTATCAAAAACCTGTGTACCCTTGGTGAATGATGAACTCGACTGTTGACTAGATACCTGAAAACAGCAAAATAAACACATATATGCTTTAAAAAATCTCAGCACAGCATTGACAGTAAACAAAAGAGGACCATAATTGTCCTGGATGGCTTACCATTGGGAAGTTACCAAGGTCTTTTAGCTATGATGGTTTATGAGAAGAGATTTAATACTTTATTTAAAGCAAGTCATTCTAATTAAATTACTAATATAAGTCCGATCATTAAATGCTTTTTCACAAACCTATTATTTAGCTTGAAATTGTATAAAATTTTTATAAAATGTATATCATAATGGGTAAGAACTCAATAAAATACAGTTTAACTACAATAAAATACATAAATTGAGAATCATTTTACATGTGTATAAGATTACCTTGAAAGGGTTCGACCTGCTCTTGAAGGGATTCTGGGACTTCTCTTGTTTGTCTTCTTTGACCTTGATAGCTAACATCGGTCCTGTTGTGATAAATCAGGTGTTACTGTACACAGTAAAATTTGGGAACAAAATTTCATGTGGTTTCATATTTCTTAACTGTGTTTTTAATAATGCAGATTGTGATTTTTTTTCTTCAGATTTTAAAGTGGATAAAATACTATATTCCTAATTACGAAATAAAATTACACACAATAATTTCAGAGAAGTTATTCATAAAACAATAATGATCTTTACCTAACATTAGATGACTACTAAGATCTGTATATTTGGGGAAATTTTCAATCTAAGTACTGACTGAATATTCAATAATGAACAGTGCAGACCACGATCAGTGAAGATGTCACAGATAAGCTGGCTGATCTTGGTCTGCACTGGTTGCCTAGGTAGAATTAGTTACCACAAAGGTTACTTACTATAATAAAATGTCTATAGTCACCTGATGAGCTCTCATCTTCCTCCATGTCAACATCTTGTTCCTGTGTTTCCTCTATATTCTCCGTCTCGTACTGTTCTGCTCTAGATACACTTGTGTACGGTGTTGATCTAGATTCTTCCTCATAACTACCAAATATAATATTTTTACTTTATTATATATCATCATTACATTTTTCTATGGTTTCATCTAACTCTAAATTCTGTTAAGGACATCATACTAATTTGGTAAAGGTTGTGACACTAATTTTGTTAAGGTCGTAACACTAATTCTATTAAAATCATCACACTTTACCTTTTAAAGGTCATAATCATTATTCTGTTACTGTCATCACACTTATTATGTTAAGGTCAAAATCAAACTTTTCCAGCTTTAAACAAGTACCACCCCAAATGCCCATCCATACAAAAAACATGTACCTGGGTAAATGACCAACTTTTGCTTATCTTTTACGATAGTTTCCTCACAATACAACATGATATAAATGTACCTGATTATATATTGTTTAGAAATTTAATATTTTCATAATAATAGTGTTAAAGTAATATGAAACAAAAGATAAAGCTTAACAATTTATGTTTTTCATAAAATCAATAATTAAATACAATGATGCTGTGAAACTAAGACTTCAAGTTTTAAAGCCCATTAAACATTTAATGTGATAAAAAAGATGAGGTATAAACTCTATGGAAACAAACTAGAAAACAAATGTAGAGATTTAAGAGGTTCATTTCTGAGTAAAACATGAAAATAATTTGTAAGAATCACCTGGAGCTAGGTGAAGTAAGGTTTTCCTCCATTAAAGAAAGAGTAAAAATAATTATGACCAAAGAATATGTTCACTGAGATATGAAGTGTAGGGATTAGAAAGTCTCCAGTCTCAACTGTCTACATGACAACACATGTGATCATATATTTACCTTTGAGCATATTGTTTAGCCTCCTCCTCCTCTGCCTTCCTTACAGCCAGTTCACTAATTTTCTGTGCCAGCTGCATGTATCGCATACGACTGCTGTATTTGATGGCCAACTGTAACGTATGCTGGTCAGACATCATATCGCATACCTCCAATGCTCGTGCCTCCCTCTCTGATCTTGCTGAAAGCTATGATACATATAACACATTAATAGGTTGAACATTTTGAAAATAAAATACAAAGAAGCCAATGATGGTTTGAAATAGCTCCACAATAATGTCTTGAAAATTCTCATAAGATGCCTGACATATGATGACTAGGTATAAAAATATTTTTGTTGTACAACAACAATTTTCAGTAATTCAAAACTGAAATTTTCTAGGGCTATATGTTATTGTTCATGTAATGATAATGTATACTGCTAGGAGCCGAATCAAATCAATTTTATTTAGTTACCTAGGCTACCTTTTACTCATTCATTTCTTATTGTAAGAAATAGACTGAATAACATTCAAATCTAATGGGGTTTTATTTTAGTGCACACCTATTTAAATTGCTACCATACATCAGATAAATATGCCTAGAAATAGTCTTTTAGTTTCCAAAAATCTTCAGCAAAGTCTTTGTTTATCTGTTGTTCCCCCCCCCCTCCCCAATTTTAATACATTTTTCAGTAGTCAATCCATCTAACCACTTTCTTGGATGAATAACAAGTAATTATCACTTGTTCCAAACATAAGTTTGAATAAAATCTAATATATAATATACAGCAGTATAAAGAAACTGACTATCAATAATAACTTACAGCAAATAGTTTCATGAGGGCCTCCTGTGCTGGTTTAAGAGCATCAGCCTTAATTGTCTCATCAAACTCAAACCCTTGTCTTGTCCAATGATCAAAGTGTCCTGACAATAGGTTAGTCCTCCATAATGACTCCTGAAAATATTATAATCTTGGATATAAAATCATAACTAAGTGGGCAATTTGTTTTCATAATAATGCATATCTAATTTTATCTATTGTTATTGCTAGGTTACTTCAATATTTGTAATGCTACTAGTCTGTCAAACAGCAACTTGTACCTTTAACATTTCATTATAATTATATTTCAACAAGAGTGCCATTGTCATAAAAATTAAAATGCTCAAAATAAGGAACATCTTTATAAAGTAATACTAAAATCATCCATGTCTGTAGAAGATATGCTCCAGACAATGGTATTCCACCTTCCTCTAAGTGTGACCTTAACATTTGGTCCACACATAACACTTTTTCTCATGGTGGTGAACGTTTTTATCAAGTACTACATAAGTCGTTCCATGCAAGAAGATATGATTAAGACAAAACAAGACGCAGCAAGCCTGTGTAGGGCCATGCTTTAACAAGTTTTTTCAAACATGCATACAAAAAGTTTAAACTCTTTACTGGTTAACAACAACATTACGTAAAATAATATTTTTTAACAATAAATTTGCTAAACAGTTAAATAACAAGAGCTGTCGGTAGGACAGCACGCTCAACTATTCTTAGTGCTTGATAGTAAAAGAGCCTTGATAATGTTAAATTTTTTAAGTTCACAAAAGGGCTATTTTTTTTTTATAAATTCATGTTATAAGCCTAATAGAGAGAGTCTAATTATACAGTATTGGCTTGACTATTCTAAGAGTAATGTGACAAGGGCGTTTTATTGAGTATAATAATACTAATTACCTATGAATACATAAATATGACAGAAAAGGTACAAAGGCTTGTTATTTAAGATGTTTTATCAAGTAAATCACTGCTTTATTATTATGAATGCATAAATTGTCCCAAAAAAGGCACAAATCCTTCAGTAGTTATGGAGATAACAGCTTACAAGCAAAACTTTACCGTGAATTTCTAAGTTGAAAAAGGGGAGAAAAATCAGCCTAAATGCAAGATAGAATTATGGATCTTTGTCAGTGACCTACAATTATGACCCTAAATGCATATGTGAAGTTTTAAATAGATATCTTTAATAGTTATTGAGATATGTAAAACTTGCATGCAAACATTAACCAAGAGACTAAGTAGCAAGATAGAGTTATGGAACTTGGTCTGTGACTTACAATTATGACCCTCCAATTATGACCCTAAGTGCATGTGTAAAGTTTCAAGTAAATATCTTTGAAGACCTTTAACCAAAATTTCTAATTTTCAAAGGGGCTAATAATTCTGCAAATATTGCACACAGAGTTATGCAATTTTGCAAACTGATGTACATTGTTACTATAAAAAAGTATTTTAAATTTCAATTGAATATCTAAAGCAATAAATGAGATATTTGACTTACATAAAAACTTTAACCAAAATTTTTATGTTCCAAAGGGGCATAATTCTGTCAATATTGTAGGCAGAGTTATCCAACTTGTCAATCTGATGTACCTTGTTACTATAAATAAGTATTGAAAGTTTCAATTGAATATCTCAAGCAATAATTTATATTTTGACTTTACAAAAAACTTTAACCAAAATTTCTAAGTTAAAAAGGGGCATAATTCTGTCAATATTGTAGGCAGAGTTATCCAACTTGTCAATCTGATGTACCTTGTTACTATACATAAGTATTGTAAGTTTCAATTGAATATCTCAAGTAATAATTGAGATATTTGACTTTATAAAAAACTTTAACAAAAATTTCTAAGTTAAAAAGGGGCATAATTCTGTCAATATTTTAGGCAGAGTTATCCAACTTGTCAATCTGATGTACCTTGTTACTATAAATAAGTATTGTAAGTTTCAATTAAATATCTCAAGTAATAATTTAGATATTTGATTTTACAAAACACTTTAACCAACGCAGACGCCGACGCGGACGCCGACGTGACTACAATAGCTCTCATATTCTTCGAATAGTCGAGCTAAAAAGCATAAGAATTACCTCATATTGACTTTTCTCTGTGGCAAGTTCGCATAAAGGTATCTGGAAGGGCAAGATGACAGGAGCTGGCCTAGGTAAAGTGGCAGGGTATCTTGAGCCCTTACATGGTATACACCTGCAACAATACAACAAATATACTATTTCTCCTTTTTATTTATATAATTCATTATTTTCAATCTTTATTCACTTTTATTTTACACTGACACTGTGAATAACAAATAGTGACTTTCTAGCTAAAGACCTCATGTGCCTCTTCTTGCAAACATAGGCAATGAACTTTCCAAAGTTTACTGACATAATCCACATTTTTTTTCATAAAATAAACAATCCCAGACCCCTTACTATTTTGACTTAAAAAGAAAGTGTCATGTCAATCTATTTAAAAATCATTATATATAAAATAATGGTAAAATTACCTGAGCTGTTGGGGGTTTTCATGGATACCAACAATCCAGTAATGGTCTGATTTTCCTTTGGCCTGTAAAACATTATCAATTTTAAAACACAAATCATGCAGGAGGTTTTGTAACATATTATTTGCTTTTCAACACTTACTCTAAAACTCACATATCCTGTAGGCTTTATTTTAATTGATAAGAATATTAAACTAATGATTATTTTTTGCAAAAATACTTTAGCTCTGCAATGTTCAAATGACATATACAGCCAAGGTTCAGACTAAGGTATTAATAATTATAAGTAATTACTAAATGGTAACGGTTACCCTCTACTTTGATTGGAATTAAAGTCTCACTAACTAACTCGCTATAAAGTCTTATGGATATTATTCATGTTAACTTCATATTATTTTAGAGACTAGAGGGCAATTGAAATGAATAGAAATATCCTTCTTCCACATGGTACCCGGATAGTCTTTCTTTATGGATGATTTTAAAGTCCCTTATATAGCTATTCAACCCATGTGGAATTTAGCAATGACTCTTAACAGTCAAATAATTCAATTAAAGCACTTGCAACAAAAAATTGAACACTTTCGTACTTAATTAACATAGGCTTTTTATCTGTTAAGGTGCTTTGCATTATCTAAAACTTACATTTGTCCTTGTGTTAGCAACCTGTACCCATGTTTTACCCATATTTCTACAAAGCATTCGCACAATTCCAGTAGAATCCATATAAAATGGTGTTCCTTCAGCCGAGAACCTGTAATATTTTTTCATTTGATAAAAGGAAACTGTATCATAGTATTATGGGGGCAATCTAGCTTCATAAAGCAAATTTTCAAGTCACCTTGATATTGTACATGTCTTATGATGACTTTTTCTAAATAACAACTGGAATAATACCTCATATCTCCATGCACTATTTTTTGTCAAGCATACTATTTACATTTTACATGCAAGCTTAGTACCTTTCTTCCATACCTGACAGTTCCAAACAGTTCAGTCAATGCAGTAAAGATAGCCAATAGCTTTATTGTACAACAATTCAAAGTACTGTTTCTACTTCTAAAGCAACCTAGTTGAAACATATCAGCATAGACTACATACCCTGCCCATGCCAATGTAGACTTAGATGACAATGGTAAAGGTTCTCCATGGATTTCCCTCTTCCATTCTCTTACATCCAACAAAGATACACCAAAACACTGTTCACCAGGTATTCCTGTAATAATATGTCATCAGCATATTAATTTTTTGTGAAATTTGGGTGTATCTAATATTATGTTAAAAAATTCAAATTATCTCATTATATTTTAATTTTTTAATCTAATCAGAAATTCAAGCATAACTTCTGAAACAGAATAAACATTTTAACCATACCCATTCCTCTGTGGTAAACAATCATCAGCTGGTTTTGATGTCCACTCATACACACCACAGGTCCTGGCAGGCTAAATATCTCCTTCTGTACACCAGCCACTGAGAACAGGCGCAAGTTTCTAAGTTCTGTGGCAGCTGCAAGCCATCCCTCACCAAGTGTAACACACTGAATCTCCTCCTCGTCGGGCATACTAATGCTCCATTCTTTATTGTTGTCCCAGGATGAGAAATGCATGCATGTGAGTTTACTGGAATACAAAGAAATATATATCAACAAAATTAACTTTATATATATATAGAATGTTTCTAATTTATCTATACAATTTCTAAGGTTACAAGAAAATAAAAATCATTGAAAACACTTAACATCTAAAGGTTGATTATGAGCTCAAAAAGTACCTTTAAACTTAACTTATTTTAATCAAAACAATAATTCTAGTATTTAAATGCCACAGGAACGAAACAAGACCTTTCAGGCAATTTTGTCTCACTATTGTCTTTGCTGACTTACAAACAAAAACTTAGTCTGCTTAAAACAAAATTGTTCTAATCACATGCTATATTTACCTTGCAGCATCAGAATCCCCCTCTGTTGCTAGGACAACAGCCTCTGTAGACAAGTCTGACATAGTGTAATTAAAGTTGTTCATTATATGCATAGCATGATGTATGGATGTATCATGGAACTCTATATCAATAGAATTCTCATCATCCGAGTTGTACTGTTTTACAACTCCCACAGAGTTCCACACCTGTAAGTGACAAAAATCAAATGCTACAACAGCTTATTCCAACATGTTACTCTCTGGTATCATTCAGACACATTCATACAGCAACAAACCTTTCTTAAACCATTTACACATTTTCCAATCTGATCTACTCGGCAATATGTTTTACAACAGACCTCTGACATAATAAGGCGACATAACGGAACAACTTAAGTCATATGATTCCGCCACTTTGTTTGTTTTGATTTTGATTGTAAAATTTCAAAAATTTTAAAATTTAGTCATAATTTATTGTATTTCATTAATGTGACTTTGGTTAATTGAAAAAGAAAATAGAAGAGGAATCACAAAGAGAAATACTCTAAATACTGAGGGTTATGTCATTTGTTACTTTCTTGCAAAGGAGCACTCCAGTATAACCTAGGAAAATTTCTTTAGGGTATACTCGACATTTCTTATCCAAAGTACACAAGAAAATCCGATGTTTTACAATAGCACATTTTCCTTACATAAAACTTTCAAGGAATAATAAAACCCACAGAAATATCAAAAGTCAGCAACATAGGAAGCCCCTGTATAAGGCATCTGTATATGTGTCTATAGCAAGAAGTGTCTATCACAGTTGAATGAACTACTTTCATAACAGAAAATGTTTTAAAATATGCTCATGTAAAAATTGTCAAAGATACATACCATAAACCTACTAGAAAGATGTTCAGGTGTTGAGCCAGGCTGGAAGGGTCTCTGCAGAGGAGTGGGTTTGAATCCCTCAATGCGGACTTCTGGTTTTGGTATTTCAGACTTCTCAGAGGTTATACTGGAGCCATCATCATCTGCTTTCTTGAAGTCAGGAATACTATCTGCAAGTAAAATACCTTTTGTTGCTGAATTTCAAGTCCTACAATAGGGGCCCTTTGTGCACTTTTGTAGACACATAGTGGATCAGATTAGAAAAATTGACAAAGTAACCTTCCTGGATTTATGCACAAAATTAACAACAATTTTTAATTATAACCAGGAAAGGAGCACCATATATGATCTGTAGGAAAGGATTTAGAGTCAAAAGCGAATTCAAAAAGGTAAAATTTAACTAAATTTTTATATTATTTACTTTGTGTTTTAAAGAAAAGCTAGGTACTGACCAAAAGCAAAACTTTCCATTTTTTCCATGACGAGCAATATCTTATAAAGGAACACATGTTTTATTAACATGAGAAGTGTAAATGACATGATAAAAGTTGGGGGTTTTTTATGATAAAAGTTCTGCACATCACATAATCTTCAAAGCACTCAAATAACTGGTGGGTTTTTGAGTCATACCTTCAGCACTAAAGAAATCGGGCAACTTTTAGCCTACAGTGTTAAAGGCGAAGATTTGATGTTAATAAATTGTGAGTAAAATTACCTCCATCATCATCTGAGAAGAGAGGTTGTGTAGGTTTAGATGTTACACCTGTCATGTCATCATCACTAGCCATTGTATCATCATCATCATTTGTAGCTTGTATGAGAAAATCATCATCTTCATCATCAAATACACCGCTTGCTACCTTACTGCTACCCTCATCATCCTGTTCAACATTCATAATCATTTAAACATGTGCTTACAAAATTGCTTAATTCTTTACATCTTTAATTTATGCACAAACAACTACAGTAACAGAATTCTGAGGCAAGCTTTCAAAACCTACGCCAAAAATGCTATAATGCTATAGATGTAATACAATATGAGGAAATCTTAACAAGTTCATGCAAGAAATTCATGCATATTGCTACTTTTTTAATTTCTTAAACAAAAGCTGTTTTCCAAAGTTTAGCTTTATTAAGATTTGTTTTGTATGGTTTGGACTTTAATATCAGATACATATACTAATAGCCTATGAATGCCTTCTACTGTTCATGGAAAAGATTTTGATTGGCTTGACATCAATGGGAACATTGTATAATTTAAAATCTTCTGTTGACATGTAAAAATGTGGAAAAAAAACTTACATACCTTTTCATTTTCTGTTGTAGATATTTCACTTAACTGTCCAAGTTGACCCTGAAATCAAAATAAACCAAGAATTATTTATATATCAAAGGCCAGACATATTATTTCATTAAATATTTAAGTACAGTCAAAATGTTTATCCGCCTTACTCAAGGTTTTCTGTCAACATGTAGCAAAGAGGGATAAAATGAAAATTGCATTCTTGTCAAATACAAGCTATTCTAATCTATGAAATTCATCTTATTGCATTCACTTAATAGTAAAATAAATATAATTCTTCATGTGAGTTTAAACTGGATAAAAGTGCTTGTCAGTTAACAACTACAATGTATACAATTAGATAAAAATATTGTAGAAGTAAAACTAATGCACTTTGACCTGAAAACATAAGTTGCCTTACTTAACATACCTGATTATCACAGAAGACAAGTTCCATATTTCCTTTTGGATTCCATGCTAATGACATGATAGAGAGTCCTTTCTCATTTTTATGTCTGTAATAATTAATATACTTATTATAATATTTTTTTATTTAGTTTAAAAACATACATTTAAGCTAGAATGTGATTATCAATATTAGGTTTATTATGTTGAAAGCTTTAGGTTTGTTTGAACAACTCTAGAGACTTTAGAATTCACCACTATTAGTCATATGAGGAAACATGGCTGTGACCAATTAAGGCTCAAGCTCACAATCCCGGGTTGAGAGGCAGACACATTAACTACTTGCCTTTCCCCTCTCTTTCAGATACTATAGATAGTTCTATTAAACAGATATTAACTATAATGAAAGTTTGAAACAGTGACTGTGTAAATAGGGATCATTTATACATCTAGACAGTCAAAAGCTTTTTAAAATAAGAAAGAGTAAGTCAAACCAAGGCTATAGCAGTTTTTAAAATAGAAATACATGTACAAGGTCAAACCAAGACTGTTCATAAACAACATTTTCAAGTCTGTTAACAAAGGCATCAATACAATAACATGCTAACACATATTTCTATACTTATTGAATGTATAGAAAAAATATCACTTACTTATCAACACATTTCTTGGACTGTAGATTGAACACACAAATCCAACCATCAGACCCTCCTGCTGCTAGGTATTTCCCATCTGGACTAACAGCTAGCACTGACACATGCTATAAATATTCAAATACTAAAATATCAAGAAACAAAAATACACATTTTCAAATAGAAAAAAACATCTTTAAAAATCTGTAAATACCATACCAATATTACTATCAAATCACAAAATTTACAAACTTAAAATTCTCACAAAACCAACCTTCCCAACAATATCACATAAGTGGAATAATTAAAGGGCCATAACTCTGCCAAAATGGATCAAAATACAAATTTAATACTATCAATATGGGCCAGGGCATTCTGTAAAAGTTGGGTTATAATCCAGAGAAATGTAGGACTTGCATACAGGGGAAATTTGATTCCTATAGATCCTACATGTAAAATTGTGTAAAATAGATCAATATCTCTTGCAGAGAATCAACAGGCAACATCTCACAAATTTGTAAAATTTTGAAAAATATCAAAGTTTCACTATACCTCAGTAAATGATGAGTCAGTCAAGGTAGATAATTTCTTCCATGTTTCTCTCTCATACATATGAATCTCTTTCTGAACTGGTATGAAGAGTATCTACATAAAATAGACATCAAATTTTATCATTCTTGCAATCATATCCTTTTTAGTTTCAGTTTTTTGGGGTTTTTTTTTTTTAGTTTTTGGTTTTGTTTTCTTTTTGCATTTATCATTTAAAATAATAGCAAATATAATTCTATGAAATTTTTCCAATAAAAGCATTTACTAACCTACATTAATTCCCTTTCAAATAAGTTTATTGTTGAAAATTGATAAGACTGAACAGAAACGTAGACCAAACATTACTTACTTTCCCATTTTCTGGTTCCCAGCACATCCTACACATTGTTTTTGACAAGCTATTGATATAAAAGAAACAAGCAGAACAATATCTTAATTCTTTATTCACATTTCATTGCAAAGTAATATTTTCAGTAACATCCATTTTTTAAAAAAACTTGTTCAATTTTAATTTTAGATTGTCACTTCAATGTAAATATATTGCAAACAAGTTCATATGAATCCATCTTCATCAAGGTTTAAAGCTCTGCACTACATCAAAGCATAAGCAACATTCTCTAAAAGGTGCAAAAAAATGGTATTCTTCAGAAGTCCAAGCAATACATCTAAATCTTAAAATACTGCATTCTTTTTTCTTTTTTTTTGGGGGGGGGGGGGGGGGGGGGCAACTACACTGACAAAAAGATTGTGAGCTTTTACTTATCTTTTGCATCCCATAATGTTTCTAAAGTTAAACAAAATCATATTCAAAAAGCTTTTGTTTCCATTAAAAAAATGTTGTTCTAGAAGCAACAATGCATGAAACTGTGTCTTAAAATGGATTAAAATGATGTTTCCACACGGGCTAGCACAAGTTCTAGTTATACATCGAGATATATGTAAATAAGAAACTTATATATTACCTTGCATCACTACACTTAGGTAGAAGAGAGAAAGATTGTATCTGTGAAAGTCATATCTTTTCCAAAAGCGGACTGTTCCCTCACAACTTGGGAAAAAACCTTCATAAAAATAAAAAAACTTTTAAACACTTTGGAAATTTTTTTATGGTAATAATGAGTTGCCTATTCACCACTATAGCAAAAAAACCCGTCCCGCAAATTTTTGGGTTTAGTCTGTGTTTTTTATTAAAAAAATTAAAAATAAAAAAATTTTTAAGTCAACTGTGGGATGCTGCCTAAATTTACCAAAAGCTTGCATGGTTTAAGTCATTATCAGACCCCGTTTTGTACTTTTTTAAAAAATAATAAATATAAAGGTTTAAATTTCAAAAATGAATCTTAAATCTTTTTTTTAAGACACTATGTTTTTTTTCCTTTTTCTTTTTTAATAATAGGAAAAAAAAAGCAAAAAAAAGGAATTTAAAGACATGATAGATAAATTTTTCATCTTTCATACATTTCCCTTTTTAAGAATTATGGGGTTTGTAAAATATCAATTTAAAAATTTTAACTTTTGAGGGTCTAGTTCATTTTTTTAAAGAGGAAAAAAAAGTGGGGAAAAAATATAACCCAAAAAAAAGAATTCTTCCCCTTTTGGGTCTAAAACCACACTGATACAGGTGCCCCAATGTCCCCGGGGTTTTAAAAATGCAAAATTTTCCCCCACATCAAAAAATTTTTTTAGTAAAATCACTGGAAAAAAAAACTTCTTTTAGCATGAAAATTTTCTTTTTCAAATTTAAAAAAATTTCTTACCCACTGCCTGAAACCCCTTCAATTTAAAAAACCAATAAATACTTTCAAAATATTTGTTTAAAACATAGACTTAAAAAGCAAGTTTTAAAGCAAAGTTTTAAAATTTTAAAAAAACTTTAAAATTTTTAAATTGTCATTCAAAATTTTTTAAAAAAAAAAAAAAACTGCAAATATACAAATTACAAAATAAAAAATTACCTAAACAAACCCGCCCAAATAGAGTTTTAACCCCTTTTATTTAAAACAATGTGATTGGCAGGGGCAGTAAATTTTTTAAAATCCCATTGGAGTACCTTTTTTTTTTTTTTTTTTTTTTTTTTTTTTTTTTTTTTTTTTTTTTTTTTTTTTTTTTTTTTTTTGGTTTTTTTTTTTTTTTTTTTTTTTTTTTTTTTTTTTTAAAAATTTTTGTTTTTTTTCCCCTTTTCAAATATACGGCAATGTTTCCCCCAAAAACAAAAAGGGAGGACTGCTTCCCCCAAACCCGTTAAAACCCCCAGAACAATGAGAAAAAAAATTTCAAGGAAAAAAATCTGTCAAGCAAAAACAATACTGAGTACATTTTTTATTTCAACACAGTCTCCATAAGCAGACAAAGAAAGAAAAAAAAGTCTTCACAGAGCCTCGAGAGGTACCGTACAACTTGGTTTCTCTAAATAAAAGTGTCCTACATACTGGAGTCCCTCTCCCAAATAATGTGCATTTTTTATTTAGGGACTTTTTTATAAAAAAAAAATTTTTAGCAATATCTTCACCTTGATGGCTATGGCAAAAGA